GATATGTAAGGTTATTCCAATTATCATTCGTTGCAGTAAAGTGATGCCTCGCGGATTTTGTGTAAATTTTCGAACCCAAGGAACAAAGAAACGATCATAAATTGCAATACTGATCAACATAGAAATTGTAAGGAATACTGCTAGACAAGCTGGCGGGATTTCGAAATGTGGTCCCATTGATCGAACCAAGGTCGTGCCTTGTTTGATAAATAAAGTGTGTGTTTGAGCGAACAATGTGCTAGGAATAAACGTTGCAAACAAAATTGGGAGCATTTTGACCATTTGTTTTGTCTGCTCAACTTGAGTCACCGGACATAACTTCCATTCTGAATCCGGTTCTTCTATCTTCACTGCAGCTTTGTCAAGGAACCGCAATGAACTTGAATGGTCAAGTCTATACTTCCCGGGACTAGAGTACTCGTCCAAAGTCAACTCATGGAGCTCTTTAGGGTCAACAGGTACAACTACATTTCTTTTTCTAAAACTGGCAACTAGTACTTTTGCCATCTTAGTAAATGGGCTTTCAACTTTTGGTTTATGCCTATAAGTTGGCGTCCCAAATATAAAAGCTATTATTGCCACAAGTAGTGCCAAAGTAGGGATACCGTACCCTAAGGCCCAACCCACCGTATCTTGTATGTACACCAAGAATGTATTTGAGAAAAGAGTGCCAAAAAAGATGCTAAACATCCACCAATTAAAGAAAGTGAGTTTGTGGGCTTTTTCTTTGGGATCAAAATCATCAAATTGGTCTGCACCCATAGTCGATATGTTAGGCTTAGTTCCACCTGTCCCAATTGCAATAATGTAAAGTGCACAATAAAAGATTCCAACTTGGAACGAAGATGCTCTTTTATCGCAATTCAGATAGCTCACATCTTTACCACATGTTGGCGGTTTTAGCGATGGTAGTGAAACCACAAGAGTCAACAAACACATACCCTGTTTAGTAACAAGATCTATGGGTTTGATTTCGGACGTAAAATATGAAAAATGTTAACATGCAAATAGAATCAATATATTTACCAGAAAATAAATGACCGAGGCAATCATGAAAGTCCAATATCTTCCCAAGTATGTGTCGGCTATATATGCACCCAAAAGAGGAGTCATCCACACAGTTCCAATCCAATTTGTGACATTGTTTGATGATTTCACCGTGCCTTCGTGCAATTCCCTTGTTAAGTACAAGACCAAATTTGTTGCTATTCCATAGTATGCCATTCTTTCACACACTTCATAGCCTGAAAATTAAGTTAAAAATAACCAAAATCAATCCTCTTGTTGTATGTATCATATTAAACTTGACAAATAATTAATTGAGATTATTTAATTATCAAACATATAAAACCATATAGATGGACTATAAAATATCTATGATAACCAGGATCATTGTAAAAATAATAATTCAAGCTAGTAAAAGAAAATAACAGTCACCTAGCATGTAGTAACACGCTCTCCATCGCCCAGTATTTGATCGTGAGACGGGTCTACCCTTAAGGTCTATAGTTCCATCTTGGGTGAAATTATGTTCAAGGCCCTTTTCATATTCCATGAATCTCAAAACACGAACACTAGAAAGAAAGAGATGGTATTTATTGCTAATATGTATCGGGCTACTTATAAGTGTTTGGATTCTTGGAACAATACACTATAAAAAAAAAATCCTAGTTTGTAACTACATTTAATAATATTCCAAGTTCTTTTCTCTTATCTACCCTTCCGTTTGTATATCACAAGAATACATTTTTGGTCATTTTCACTGGTATCTTTTGGTTGGAATTTTCTAATTTGTCCTTTAAAAATTGATGTCTGCCTCTTATTTTGGATCATTTTCGCATAAAGATCCACGAGGTAGACATGTTGCATACTGCCATGGGTTAAAAACCTCCAATTCCGGCAACTTTTGATTCTTTTTTTGTTACTAACTTATATGAAAGTCGAGGTGGCAAAATAAGACTGTCGGGGTGGTTTCATAAAAGGTCAAAATCAGATATTTCTTGAACAAGAGGTTTGTCTAATTAATCTGCTAGTAGATGATGACTGTATTATTGCAACAGCAAGCTAATTTTGTTTAATAAAGCCATTTCGGAGCTTATATCTCGTTAAAGATAAAATATAACTCAAAACTATATGTTAATGTTAGTTAGACCAGTCGAAATTGTCATATGTATAAGAAATGCAACAGGATGAAAAATGCAACCAAATGAACCATGTGAGTAATGTATCAAAATAAATTCGTGTCAAAACATTTAATTTTAAGAATAGAGCGAGCTAATTAACCCAACGATACTTTTTTTGTCCATTTTGAATTAATTTATTAAAATACCAAAACTATTACAAAATTTATAGATCTACCAAAAGGACTGTTGGAACTTTGTTTGCTTTATTCACTTTATATATCAAAAGCTTAAAATTATTGGATCCAGCTTCATGGGTCAATTGTGTGGTGTTGGGCTAGTGTTTCTAAATAACCTATCATTTAATAGGTTTTTTTTTTTTTTTTTTTTTTTTTTTTTTTTTATCATTACACATAAAAATCTGAAACATTCATCCTAGTTTTTCTCATCTATGTTTAAGTAGACATTGTACAGATTCAAGATTATATTTTCAATAGATTGATATATCCTCAAGACAGATACATATCCTGAAAATTTTTGTCTTAGGTCACTGTTTGCAGGCCTCAATCTACAAATTTTCGAGTTTGTATTTCTGTTGTAAACATCAACACACAATTATGTTTTTTATATTGTGAATCTTTATTTATAAATTCATTTAATTTGTGTTTCTTTTTGTTCAATTTCGAGTTTTGATTATTTTTGTCATAACAAGGACTACCATGTCTGAAAAATTACATTTTGGAATAAATTAATTTTGTTTTGGAATATCAATAATACCATTGAGATGTGACGTAAAAAGTTCCAAAATTTATCATTTTTAACATTACATATGGCCCGTATATTTCAGACTTCATTTATCCGATCTTTTGAACAATATACGGCTGACAAAGTATATACAAAAACAATGTGTCCAGAATTTGAAAACTAATATATTTGTACATTGGCATTTTAGAGTTCAAGATGCTTTGTTTTGTTGGTGATTTTATCACCAAATATATTTTAGTGTAATGGACTTAACAAGTGTTTCAAGAATAATGTTTTAGTTCTAATACAAGTTAGGAGGTGCGGGAGTGCACACTTGTATTTACTAAATATTGTTAGTACTGAACCCTAATCTACAATACAAGGTCTAATTTGTCATTCTTGAAAGATGAAAACCGATTTGATTTATCCGTTGTGATATAAACCTGTCAAAACGGCGCTTGTTTGAAACACAGAAAACGCAGAACGCTTTCTCTTCATCTTCTTCAAATTGATTCTGATTTTATGCCTAAAATCTGAATTGCTACATCAGGAATTATCCCAGTTTGGATTTCGTGATACCCAAGGCATATAGGGTCGAAATATCAAACAAGGAAAGTGTTTACACGATTCCTGTTTGTTATCCAGATTTCTCAGAACCCTAATTCGAATTCCCCATTGAAATTTAATAAAAAAAAATTATCAACATCAAAGTATATTCCGATGCAATGATATAAGTATATGTATACCATTTAGTTGAAAAATAGATTCTAGTGAACATTCGGGATTTAGAGAGAATTTTTTGAAAATGTTTGGTGCGAATGAAAGCATATGCCAAATTTTATGTATTCGAAATTCTGAAATGACTAAATTTTGCATTTGATGGCTTACCGTAAATACAAAAAAATTACTAAGTTTATGTTAATTCTCAATAATCATGTGATATTTTGTAGCAAATGGCTTCTAGATCAACAGTATTAAGTGTTGCCCTCTCTCCTTGAGGTTGAATGTTCAAGTCCTATCGTGGACGTAGGTAGAATTAAAGAGTAGTTTAAAAGTAGATTAGATTTGTCGTAAAAAAAATGATATTTTGTTTTTCTAATTATCCCTTAAAATAATTTAACAAATAATAGACGTTTTAAAATTAGGTAATTTTTGGTTGTTCAACAAATTTCAGCCATTTCTTTTTCTAGTTTAGCCATCACAATAAACTCAGCTGAAATTGCTAAATTATATAGTAATTTGAAATTGAAATGATCGTAATCTCATGTTAATTTGGCCTGTAAAAGTAAATACAAAAATACAATCAAATTCAAATGGTTAGTCGGCTAATAAGGTATAATACATATTTCGAATATTTAATATAAATAATCGGACAAATATTTATTTTTCTAGTCAAGTGTCCTTTTCCAGTTTGATACGTCTGTTAATTTTAGTATTATGTTTCGATTTAGACCTATTGACTATTGAGAGTAACTTTAACAATATTTATCAACGTGGTATTGTGACAGATATTTGGCAATGTCTAAATGAATACGATTGCATAGCCCACATGGCTACTCTTCATATTTTGTTTATATTCAAGAATAACGACAATTAATTGTAGAATAAAGATTCTACTCCATCTACCTCATAAAATATAAACGGGTCGCATCTTTGATTATATAGCTAGTGTTTGTTTATCAGTTTTTTAGATCTAGATATCAATCAATCGTTTTGAATACTTGTTTTTCTGATCCAGTTAATTCCTTATAAATATATGTATACAATTTGAAGTTTCCAAATCCTAATATCTATGTTAATTTCTTGATTGTTGTTTGTTTTAATTGAATTGTTAAAAGTAAAGTCATAAAGATTAAGGAATGTTGTTATTTTGGATGCAAATTAATGATAAATACCAATTTATGAACTTCTCTGGCATCCCACAAGCATAGGATTAGATAATTGGTTGAAAACTTGAAGCAACTCCTAAATAAGTACATTTTTATAATAAATTAAAAAAAAACTTTTATAAATTTTTATGAGCTCATTATATCCTAATAGGATATATTAGTATTACAAAAATGATTTGGTCTAAGGGTAGCAGAACAAAAGTAAAGATTTAACGGCCGAATCAAATAACCATTTCTGAAATTTTGTCTAGATATTAAAAAGAAAAATCCTTTAATGGGAACTAAAAAACGCTTTCTACGCCAGGAAAAAAAACACCTATAATAATATCATACAAGCTAAAATAGGCTTTTCAGTTGAAACAAATTAGAGAATAGTTGTTAGCTAAAATCAAAGTAGCCAATTATATAAAGTAACGAAAAGTAACAGGAAAACAAGTAAATCTGGATTGATATACTAGCTGGTTACCATCAATTGTTATATCATTGTCAGATCTAGTGGCCGAAGGGGGCGTTTGGTTCTGGGAATTCCATTTCCTGCCAACCAAACACACATGTGACATATTACAATTTCTTTAGATTCCAATTACATTCCTTCCAAAAACATTTTGCAAACAAAAAAAAAAGGAAAAGAAAGCAAATATTAGAAGTTTAAACAAAAAATGCATACCCATTTGCTGAAACTAGAATTCTTCTTGCGTTCCAACCTGGGATAAGGATTCCATGATTCCAATCTTGATGGATTCGTTGGTTCCTGTAAAAACAAAGAGAACATAACAGGGGAACAATTATGCCTCCAATGGTAAGGTAAGCACAATCAGCAGAGCTAGGTTGAGTTAATTTAATAAAAAGATTTAACCATGCAAATTAACTAACACATACAACTATAGCAAACTTGAGTTAAATGCTACAACTTATAACTGAAGAAACTTATAATGCAAGTACAACTACCAAAAATAAATTCTACTATAACATAATACTATTACTACCAAGATTCAAGCAATCCAAACCAGTTTTTAAGTTTGTTGCATAACCATTATTGGAGCACCATCACATCCACTTTTCAATCAACTCTCTGATCTCCACCCTGCATTAGAGTAACCAGGCTGCCCGTTATAGGCGGCACCAGCACCGGCCATATAGCCACCACCTGCCGCTTGTTGATCTCCTAGCCCTGATCTACCACCAGCTGCTCCATAACCACCGTTGTTTGAATTATAGCCATCAGTACTACCATAACCACCATACCCGTAACCTTGACTCCCATAACTAGAACCCCCACTAGGAGGTTGACCCACCGCTCCACCACCACCACCATTCCAAAGAACATTAGCCCCATACCCTGCATTCGCACCATACCCTGCACCACCATAGCCAGGAGTCTGACCACTCCATGGGTTTTTTAATGGACTGGGACTACCACCTATGTAACCGGAGTTTGCAGCACTCGGGTTCCCATATGCTCCGGCAGGACCACCATAACCACCAACACCATAACCTCCATACCCGCCATAACCACCATAACTCGGTTGACCATATCCAGAATACGGAGGATAGCCGCCACCAGAGTTCTGCGCCTGCATGAACCTATTACCATCCATTTGATTGTCAAATGAACCACCATTGTTGCCTTGATAGCCGCCACCACGGCCGCCGCCGCCGCCGCCAGGATTCGCGTCTTTGGGGAGGGCTCGTTTTACCTCCACAAGCTTATTGTTAAGTTCATGGAAGGTCTTCTGGAGGACTCTATCGACAGCATCTTCTGTGTCAAATGAGATGAAACCAAATCCACGAGGTCTGTTGGTAGTTTGGTCAAACATAATTACTACATCCGTTACATCACCATAACTTTCAAAATACTGGCGGAATTGTTCTTCTGTTAAGGTGGAAGGCAATCCACCAACAAATATCTTTTTGGTTCTGGAAGTTCCTCCTCCTCCAGAGCTTCTGCTGACATTACTTCCAGGCCTAGATGCTTGTTGTTCTTCTCTTGATAAAGCCCTCTTAGCTTCCACCTGCAAACCCAAAGTGGAGTTCTATATAAACATCAAAGAATACACATACACCACAATCTTCAAAAGGAAATAGAAAATGATGAGTTGTTCTGTTTCCTTTTACGTATAAACTTCTGAAATCCAATAAAGATTTTAACAACTCCATTAAGAGATAACAACCATTAAAAGGAAACCACGTTAAAACATCCAAATAACATGATTCTAAATTCTGACAATCAATGGGAGTGCTAAGATATCAGATTCAGGCACACACACCCACGAACGCAATTCAATTACAAAACGTGGAGATGGGAGTAACAGAATTCAACTGAATTGAGATACTTAATGAGGCTCTCAAATTTTACCATCAATGGTATTGAAAAACCTATTACCCATTCCAGAAATACAGCTTTGACTTTAATAATTACTGATACGAATATCATTGCTATTGCTTACGTTCAAAGACCGTTTAGAAACGATAACAAGCTAAGTTATTATCAGGTGGTTGGTTTCTCAAAGTAGAAGTAAACCTCTCATTTCGGAAACAAATTGATTGGATTGACAGTCACGAAAACAAACTTTACAAGTAAAAAGTTAAAAATCAGTACAAATTACTATTCGGAAAGCTGAAACAATCTGCAACCTAATTGAAGAATGAAGAACGATGAAAAATCATAAATTTCTTACATTGCGGCCATCGATGGTGTGCCTATCTTGAAGAACAGAATCAAGAACAGATGGATCTGAGAACACAACGAAGCCGAACCCACGTGGACGTCCGGTGATCTTATCGCGCATGATTACGGTCTGCGAGACATCGCCGTATTTGCCGAAGTAATCACTTAACCTTTCCTCCGTGGTGTCCCATGCTATTCCTCCTAAGAACAGCTTCCCTTCGTCTGAATCCATTGATTTTCTTGGTTTTCTCACACACAAACACGCAGCTCAGTTTGAGTGAGTGAGTGAGTGTGCGTAATTTCTGAATCTAGGGTTTGCACGGACTTGATCACTTGAAGTGTCCGTTTGGGAATTTGGGATCGAATCGCAGTAGAAGCATACGTCATGATTCCCACCAGTACGACGCCGCTTCACTGTTCATGGAATATGCGAGCGTATCAATATGATTTAAATTTAGGACAATATTATTTTTTAATCGTTTAAATCTTATAAATGGTTCAAATGGTCGACATAAATAAATTTTGTTAAATTTGATACATAATATATTTTTTTTTCAACCACAACAATTTATACTTTATAAAATTATATAATACAACATTTTAAATAAAATATTTTGACCATTTAACTTTGACAACTTTCTTCATTCAACCCAGTAAATTAAGATAAAAATAATATAAACTACTTTTAACCGATTATAATAGGTTATTGTGATCTGCATAAAAAAATATTATTCATGCATGGCCTTTTATATAAAATTATGATTTACAGTTTTTAAACAGTAAAAATAATTAAAATATATAATAGTTTTATGTTATGTAATACCTTTACTTTTGTGATTTAACCATTAATATTTTATAGACAAAAATGTAAAAATGATTATCATGATATGCATTTATTACGGGTTTAGTCAAAATCCCAACTTTTTTAGATTGGTGGTCATTTTGACCATATTTGTTTGTGATTTTGGTCTCTCATAAAACTGAAAAGACTAAAATGTCTTTGTGATACATTTTATTATGTTTTTATATTTACTTTAAAGTTTTATTAATTAAGAACATTGATGACCCACCTCTCTCTCCCTCTCTCTAATGCAAACACCTACACCTGGTTTGTGACCCCATCTCCAAAAAACGAACCCTATGTCTTCTTCACCATTTTCATTTTACCATTGTTGGATCATTCCACTTCAAACATAAAATTAGTTCCAAAAACCCCAAATCAACACCTCGATCTCTCATTCTAACACCGGTTCTTGATCAAATCCAAGAAGCTATTACATAAGATGATATGTATGTGAGTGTGTGTCTATGGCATAAGATCGAATTCAGTTACAGAGGAAAAACGTGAATGGGTTTATGATGAACGTCATGAAAAATGAAAACCCTTTGAGTTCGTGAAATCCCAGATGTGTTCTTGAACATACATCAGGTCCAAAAATGATTTCTTGTTCATGGTTCTTGTATTCTTCAATCTTTTGGATTTGGTCGTGAAAAAACTATTTCAATAACAAACCCATATCTGAGTTGCATCATGTCATCAAAATTCAATTCAGATCTTCATATTGTTCATCAAAACCAAAGTCAGATCCCAAACCTAATTTATGATGATTTAAAGTTTTGAACATCAAAACCCACAAAACAAAACCTTAAAAAGGGTATTCAGACCCCAAGAACACTCCACAATCGATTTATGGGTTCTTCAAACACATGGACTTTTTTTGGGGGTTTATTGGGTTTATAAGTTCTTGCGTTATTGAGCACACACACATTGAACACAATTTATGTAACATATGTTCTAGGTAATTTGTAACACCATAAATTTTCAAACAAATTTTTCATTTTAAATCACATGATTCTCATAACACATTTCTCACAAATCCCATTTATTTAATTTACAAAACGCAACTCCATAAATGTTTGATTAATAATCTAGGATCCTCAAAACATAACTCTTTCTCTGGTCTGTACAATCAAGCCGGCGCCTTCCCGCGATCCTGAGAAGAACCTGAAACATAGATAACATAACACGGTAAGCATGAAGCTTAGTGAGTTCCCCAAAATACCACACATGTCTCGTTATCCTCTCATGGCTATACTCAGATAATACCCCCCCCCCCGGTCAATGTGTCTCAGTGGGACCCTCCGGTCCCACAACTCGGGTGGACCCTCCGGTCCTAACTCAGGAAGCTCAGAATAATACACAACATAAATCACATAGACATAATGCAGGATATCACACTTCTCAATATAAGCACATAAGACACCTCAGTCACACAAAGATACCACTCATGGTAAGTATAGTGAGAAGACTCACCTTGTAAGAACTCGGACAACCTCGAACTCGAATCACCGGTCTAGCCTCCGCCTAACACATACGATAAATATCTTTAATTAATACTCTATTCACGACTCTAAATAAACCAAAGGTTATTCTCTCTCTCTCTCTCTCTCTCTCTCTCTATCTCTAACTCTTCGAGTGAGTAAAAGACCATTTTACCCCTCCATGATCTCCTTTCCTCATGTTTGGCCAAACCCTAAAGTCAACAGAAGTCAAACTCGAGTTAACTGTCCATGTTGACCTGACTCGCCGAGTGCACCTATGTGACTCACCGAGTCCCCATTATTCCTCATAACATCGCGAAAACCCAACTTCACTCGTCGAGTCGTCTCGTCGACTCGCTGAGTTACCCATATCCAGACTCATCGGGGAAAACCCTAGACGACTCGCCGATTCAGCTCTTTGACTCGTCGAGTCCCTTAAGTCAGTTTCTCATTCAGACGTTTTTAAGGCAGAAAGCAACCCCAAACTCTAGATCTGACCTCCCTAGGCTCGATTATCACGTAAAGACATAAGCTTTACATCCATGCATGGCACTTAGGGCTTGAAATGCCAAAACATAATCCATTAAGGGTTTCTCACTCAAAATCTCTATTATGGCTGAATAAAGCAGGGACCTTTGGACTCTAGGGACCTCACAAGGTCCAGATCTGAAGTCCAAATCTCTAGATGAACCCAATACACTCAAAGCCCTAAACTCCATAAACATGTGATCTAACCAACATAATGAGAAAGGTGTGGACTTTTTACCTTTCACAGAAGCTCTAGACGAAATAACAACGGATCTAACAGCCCCTTCTCGTTCCTTTCTCGAAATCCTTCCCTTCTCTTCAAAAGATGCACCAAAACACTCAAGGATTAGATCACACACACACTCTCTCTCTCTCTCTCTCTCTTAGCTCAAAGGCCGATTAGGGTTTCACACAGGGGAGTTGGGTAGCTGGTGAGGCGAAAATGAGAACATAAGTTCTCTTAAATATGCCCCAACCCCGGAGATTAGGGTTTTCATCTTACAACGTCTACTCGGCGAGTCGACTCTCTGACTCGTCGAGTCGGTCATTAAACCCACGTGGCCAATCACGACTCTACTCAACGAGTTGAGGCACCAACTCGCCGAGTTACTTAATAAACCCCAAAAATAAATATATAAATAACATGCATGGGAGTCCGGATGTTACAATTATCCCCCACTAGAATCAGACTTCGCCCTCGAAGTCATGCTCTGGAAATAACTCTAGGTACTGCTCGCGCATCTCGGACTCCGGCTCCCACGTCCACTCGGATCCCTTCTGATGTTGTCACTGGGTCTGAACCAGGGCACCTCTTTGTTCCTCATAACCTTCACTTTCCGTTGCAAGATCGCAATCGGCCTCTCAAAATAATCCAGGCTATCATCAGTCTGAATATCCTCCAATGGCACCACTGCCGTCTCATGTCATACAAAAATCTCTTTCCCGAGACACCTAACCCATACAGAAACTCTCTATCCCGCCACAGAAAGGATCCCCCCGCCGTTGTGGTTCCAGTTCTGATTCTTCAGAACCTGGGACTCTAGCAGTTTGACTCCATGCACGACCGCACATGCACGATATCATCATGTCATTTGCTCATCAAATGACCAATCTCCAAAATCATACCCCCAGCTCTAATCATCTTGAGACGACTGATGAAATCAGATCATTGACCATAACAACTGCCGAACACTCATACCTGACCATATCAGTCGATCCAGATCGTACTCCAAAGGGACGAAAGGGTCACATCTCACCAGAGACCCATCAACTGCACTACTATCAGAACCCATCTGAACAAAACGAACCCCAATACTCTGTTCTCAATACAAGAGAATGATCGTGCCCGCTCAGAGGTATCCTCGGACCTCTATGAGCATAAGCCCCAGCTCCCTCTCACATATCCCTTTCAACACTGAGCACCAGGTCAACTCTCGACCCAATAGTTGAACCTCCAAAGGTTACCCATTGCACATCCAATAAAACGACTTACCGGATTCCTTCTCACAATGACTATCTCGGCCCGTTGTGACTCACAAGTCACGAAGTTCGCTTTACCCCAAGCGAATACTACAACCCCAATCTAAGGTCGCCTCACTCCCGACCTCTGTCGTCTACTACTGTAACATCCCCCTCTGGCACGTATCATAATATTGTCCGCTTTGAGCCACTCGACACGAGGACTTCCCAGGGGGTCACCCATCTCGGTACTACTCCCGCCCGAGCATGCTTAACTGCAGAGTTCTTATGGGATCTACTGCCACATCGGCTTGGAAGGAGAACTAAGCATTCCTTAAAAGGGGTGTTGATACCTTCCTTGTCACAACGCGTTTTAAAGCCGTGAGGGCAGCAGATCCCATAAGAACTCTGCACTTAAGCGTGCTCGGGGCGGGAGTAGTACCGGGATGGGTGACCCCCTGGGAAGTCCTCGTGTCAAGTGGCCCAAAGCGGACAATATTGTGATACGTGCCAGAGGGGGATGTTACAAATGGTATCAGAGCATTGTTTATAGTGAACTGGCCTATCTAATCATACTTGATATGCAACTATAAATACAATGAGACTAAAACACTCTAAATAAAACGATACCTAGGTATACATTAAAACAATAACACTAAAAGTCTCTGGAGGAAATTGAACACTGTGATTAAACCCGGACAGTTATGTAGTCATATTGGGGATAAATATAGCTTGATCAACTATATTTATTCAAAATATGACCAATATGTGTTTGGGAGTAATCATGACGGGAAATGGATCTAGAAGCTTACCTCGTATCCAAAACTTCTAAGGAACTCAAACTTAAATAATTAAAGTACTATATGAGTATTTTAAAATGCTATATGCGTACTCTTCTTACACGTCTCCCACCCCTCGTGCAGACACTATGGCCGAATTTCATCATCCTGGAGATCCCTATTTCTCCAACCAGGGGAATGGTGGATGGTTGGAGCCAGAGGAAGAACCAGAGGAAAGAGCCCGAGGAAGAGCCTATAGGAGGACCGACAGAACCGGTAGCTGACTCGGACGAGGAGGAGGCTGATGGCAG